GGCTCCACAACGACTGAACGGTAGACCGAAGCGTACGTGTGAAGTTAGTTTGCACAATTGTGCTAAGAAATGCCGACCACTGTCTTAGACCAATAAGAGTTGGTACAGTCGACGCGTCGTTTCTACGAATTTTAGTCAGAATTGGGTTCCTGCTTGCTTCGCTGCCGTGAAGTCCAGATTCGACCAAACGCCAGGTCATTGTGTGCTTGAAGATTTGGAYATTGTATTCACCATGAATTTTATGTAGAACGTCATTGGAACTCTTTTTGGGGTCTGCTCGGGCGATGGTAGTAATGCTGCGGTCTATTTCTGTTGCAGTTTTTCGGGTTTTTCTTTTCGTTGGAAATAGTTTAAAAATTCTGTACATGCTTAAGGACATTGAAAATATTATTTTTTTTAACCTGATTCAAAATTTCTTTATACGTCTTTTCAGACTGATGAAGGTCAAAAATATAGCTGCAAAGGGTAGCTGTACATCTGCAGCTTTTCCTCATTAAAAAATATGAATAATACATTTTAATATATTTTAAACTACAACTTTGAACCACACCCTTGCCAGAAATCAATAATATTATTAATAAATGTTACTACCAGAAGGAATCTTAATTATTTAAGCAACTGTTTCAAATTAGCTGTCGCACTTAATTAGCCTTTTATATCGTAACGCATTTACTATTTGGTTAAAAATTAAAAGAACTTTAACTTCACAACTACAAAAYAAAGTGAATTAAGTAGTATATAGAGTAGCACGAACGATACAAGACTTTTAGGAATATATATAACGGTATATCAAAAATGTTTATCATTATAATCATCAACCACCTAAAGAAAAATGAACGTTTTTAATTAGTAGGCCGTAGGTTCAGTTTATCACATTTTGGATATATCGAAATCGATCACCACTAACGGCTGCAGCCATTTATTGACAAACAGCGGGAACTTAGTTGCGCCCCAAATAAGACAGACAACATAGTGAATCATATTAATCATCAATAATTGCTTTTGGTTGAAAGTATGGCACTCATGATAAAAACGTCACTCGAAAATCTTAGTCATAGAAGCTATTGGTCTAAACTTGCCGTTTTTTCAGAGCTATAATGTTATAAACTTAGCACAACCTTTTGGAACTTCCCACATTTAGATTTCCGTAAAATTTTTCTCCTTAACACCACAAATGTCAATGTCGGGCATTCAAATATGAATAAATAGTTAAATATTTGCATATTAGCAAACAAAATGACATACAAGCACACACATGTTTAAGCGCATTCATGTTAGAGAGCAGTTAACACATAATTACCATGGCACGCATGTCCGACTAAGTTCTGCAAATATACAAATATCTATAAAATATGAAAGTTAAATATGGGTTTATACATAGTAATCTATAGTGTCCGTTCAACCGCATTCACTGGCATTGGCAGTGACATTTCGCTATGGTATTGAAGTAAGGTCAATATTGAATGTTTTTATGTATCTCGAATTGGAAAAWTTCTCTTTAAATAATAAAAATAAAATGGAGGAATAGAAACATTGTCGCAGTCTGAATATTTAATAAACAGTCGTCGTTAATAGATACATATTAAATAGTGGACCTGCCATAATCATGCACAACTTGCCCTCCCCCCACTATAACTGTGTTGGCTATTCGACTAACGACTGTTGTCCAGCGAAGAGAGGGATGCACCAGTTAAAGGATTTTGTTGTATGCCATTCTTATGTGGTTTACAATGACTCTATCGTTCTAGAACTTATGAACTTGAATCKTCACAAACACATACATATGTATACATATACTTGTTGACAATTGCAAATGCCGCTCATACGCCCACGCRTAGAGCAATTGTTCTATTTCATTCTAGAAAATATTTCCACGTATTACTCGTTCATTGCAATTTTTATAGGTTAGTAACATTTAAGATTTTTTTATACTTTGTATTTTGTATGTTCCAAAATATATGCAATAGCGCTAAGAAAAGCATTATCTTGATATCTGTCAGCCAGACGTAAAAACTTTTCAAATTGATATTTCGAAATATTATATGTATGTATATAGGTTGTCAAGTCTTGCGGTATTTTTTTAATGAATTTTCAATTGTATATAAAAAAAAAAAATAAAACTCATGCCCAGCTCTTGACCGAAGCTACGGCTGCCACTATGCCGGTCTCTTTCGACCAATTCGCGTGGCGCATCTTCGACCACCTCCACACCAGAACGAAAACGATGAAGCCATCGTTGTGCCACGGAAATGGAAACTTTCTCGGGTCCATAAACTGYASAAATTTTATTGGCGGCTTGAGGTGCATTTTTGCMTTTATCGTAGTAGTACTGTAAAATATGCCGTATTTTGTCTTTATTTTGCTCCATGTTTGCGACGMTATAACTCACGAACRACKTAAAARAAACGACAATMAATCAAACAGGTGTTAGCGCGTGAAATGAGCTTTCCAAAAAGRTATAGCATGACCCGATRCGATGAATAAAACTAGAACTACGCRCTCTCAGCGCCAACTAGGGAAACTTTTTTGACAACCTAATATATACATAGATGATACCTAAAATAGTTCATATTTAGGATGCAGAAAAAGGCTTCGCCGCCATAGAGGCGACTATTCCGGACAACGGATCTCAATATTTGGCCGTCGACTACCAAAAAAGTTTTAGACATTAGCGCATACGTAAATAAGCAAAATTATCTTAAATCTGACTGTCTTCTACACAGAATTATATCCAGCCAACAACCCTCGATGTAAACTTTTAATATTGTGTATACAATTGTGATAACTTTACCATTAATTAAACATTAGCTGCTGTTGCCAGAASTACTACTACGAGCAAAAAATACTTTGTTCATAATTTTAAAAATTTAATTTATTCTTGAAAATCTTTGAGGTCCCCCTCAAAGTAATCCAACTTGGTCCGATCTACTTGTGCGCGTAGCGATTCACGTTTAAAGTTTCAATTGACTCAAAAAGGTTTCCTTGGAGCGGCCGTTTGAATTTGCTGAATAGCCAGAAGCCACTCGGAGATAAATCAGGCAAATACGGTGRTTAAAAATTTGRTGAAAAA